TGTTAATATCCTCTCATTATTAGATATTTTATGTTTAATATTAAAAATGAAATTTGTTTTCATTTTATATGAAAAATCATTTTTTAATAAATTAAGAAATATTTTCAAAATATTGAAAGTATATATTCTTTTTTGGGTTAAATTACAAATTTTTAAAAATTAACATTTGTTTATATCAGAGAAATAGCAGTAATGCAGGCATTCATTCATCAATAGCTGTCTTTCACATCAGGATATTATGCGAACAAAATGTTTATAAATAATATAAGTTATTATGAAAACTATACTTGAATTCGAGTTAATGTTAGGAATTGTTTATATTAGACAAACAAATAAAAGGCCCAAACCATAGAAAACCACAGCTTATATTAAATTACAATTCATTTAATGATTGGAAAAACAATTTCCAAAACTTTGAAAAAATATTGAATTTCATTCACTTTTAAATTTAGTCATTAATGAAATAATTGAGTTTAAAAATCGATAAAATCTAAAGCGAATTAACAGAGAAATAGATGTCTTAAAAAGTATTAAATCAATGAATGTGTTGACTGTTTTGACTGCTATTTATGAATAAAATCTGATTAATAAGTTAATTGAGTCGACTTTTGGTGTCGACTATTGTTTATCTCGTGTAATAAACTCTATAATAAAGTGTTTTTGATCGCCAAAGAGAGTATGAATTGTCGAATTTTAACAAATAAACACCAGAACCGGGATAAACATGAGAACCGCTGAACACTTCTTCGTGAGAGTCCCGCCGATAGATAGGAATGATTACACTTATGGGCGAACTGTCGGTTTGGCTCTTAGGAGACATCGACTCCTTTTCCGGATCCAAATGAGTCCCCTTTTCTATATCGTTAGCCAACGCTATCTCACCTATAAATTAGTACCAATTGTTGTAATATATTGCCAGACAATCAATAGTTAATGAATGCATACCTTCTTCTTCGTCGTCGTCCTCGTCTTCACTTTCGCTGATGTGAACCGAGACTTGATTTCCGGGATTTTTAGTCCATTCGAAGAGTAAACCGAAGCCGATATCATAGCTATCGGTAGAGAATTCCCAGAAAATACAAGTGCCGTCTCTGTGAGTGGGCACCCGAACCGTAACGATCTCTCCGTGACCTACTTTGATGATACCGTCGCCGCCTTCAGACCTAATGGACTCTTTGAAGAGCGCGATGTCCTTTCGGGTCCACATCGAGGCGCCGGCGATCGGACCGAAACTCTCGTCTTCCGAGTCGGTGTCTGAGCCCGTCGTCGGTTCCAAATGATTGTTGTGAAGGTCTTCGGCTGTCATCAACTTTGGCTCGAGTGAAACAGTTTGCGTGACTAATGTATTTGATTGCAAGTTATTTGTCTCCCTTTCGCTGTTAACGAAATTATTTCTCGCATTATTCATGCTTTGGGTGTGAGTTCTGGAAACCTGTTGTTCCCTTAATTGTAGCAAATATTGCTGATAATGTTGTTCTTGTAATTGA